TCGTCGAAGTGTGGAAAAATAACTCAGAGAGGGGTCGCGTAGCTATTTTTGTAGCTTTTTTAGTTTAGTTGAAAGGAAGTTCGGGATTGGTGATTTCTTATACGGGAGTCTTTCGTCTATCAAGGTATCTCGAATTACAAATAGGACAGAGTATAATAGGTTAACTGCTTCCATAGGGAATGTTGTAAGAAGATATGGGCTCCAGTCTACTGACCTAATATAGTTGTTCATGGAGTCCTCGTCAAGTTTTTTGGGGTTAAGACGGGTGTTACTAAAATGGGGTGTTAGTTTTGCGTTTAAGGGGTGTGTTGATATTATTGCTCTGTGGTCACTTTCAAAGGTTGCGCACTCGTAGTGCATATAGAAAGGCCAGATATCGTTGGTGAAAATAACGCCTAGTATATTGTTTCCTCGGGTGGGTTTGTCAACTATTCGCGTCTAGTTATTAAAGATAATTGAAGACAAGAATTCTTCATGCCTGGTAGGTGCTGATAATTCGAACCAGTCTATTTCTGGGCGGTTTAGGTCGCCTGCAATTATCTTATATTCAGTTTTATGTTAGCTATATTGCTTATTAAGAGGTTGAGGCTTGTGTCATCACTACTACATTCAGGAGGGGAGTAGAGGCATCTGACTAGTATGTTTTCCTGGGTGTGAGATTTTATTGTGCCAAAACACGCTTCTCCAGCAAAGGTTTCGGTTGGGACATCAATACGACTTTGCTCAATGCTAGTTTTGATGTAGATACGACAAGCTCCGCCTCGTTTATTAACACGGTCCTGTCGATAGAAATTATAATTTGGGACACATAGCGAAGCATTCGATATAAGTTCATTTGCCCATGTTTCTGTAATGCAAATTACATCGGGGTTATTTATTTCAACAAAAGTTCTAAGCTGGGATATTTTGTTGACAATCGATCTGGAATTTATAAGAGCTATCTTTAGGATGTCGGATATGGAACAGGTGGGCTGTGGTGAAAAAAGGATTTCTGGGGGTACTTTGAATGAGTGATGGACTAAATGGAGGTAGGTGTGTGAGTCTTGGAGGATATGGTGATGCGTATGGTGTAGTGTGAGTGGACTGAGGGTACATATGGGGAGGTGCGTTAACCAGGTGGCAATTGTACCTAAATGGAGTTTCAGTTTGAGAGGTGTAAAAGCCAAAGTAATTTGTAGGGTTGTAATAAGGTGGTAAGGAGTTTGGAATGCTAGAGTGGTTTGGCTTATTCCTATGCCATGGAGGTGGATTTTGGGGAGTCGAGATGCCGTTATAGAAGCTTGTTTGTTTTTGGTTAGAGTTTGGTGGGCTTTTATTTGTTATGTCAACATGCCTAGGGCGTTTTGGTTGCGTTGGTGTGCTTAGTAAGACCTTTTGGTTTATGCTTCTTGTTTGACAGGCGTTTTCTAATACTGATTGATCGGTCTTGGGGGATGTGGTAAAACTTATACTGCTATCTAAGGGTGTCACATGACTCGGTCCGGGATCTGCATCATCGTTCTGTTCTGGTTGAACGTTGTTATTTTGTTGTGCCTCCCTCGTTTTTTTCTGACCAGCATTCCTAAATACTTTTGCAGTTGCGCGTTTTTTATCAGGAGAACTAGAGTCAGAAGTACATGCTGGAGGCCCTTCTGCGGGGGCTGTGGGTTTATCATTTGGTTTACGCTGGCCTGTACAATTCTTTTTATTAGTGATAGAAGTAGAAGTAGTGGCTAAAGGTTCAGTTGAGAGACCGGAGTGCTGATTATCGTATTTGTAGCTGGTGTCTTTTTCCCGAAGTTTACGTCTTTGCATAGGTGTCAAATCTGGACCTATAAATGAGTTTAGGTTCCACAGATTTCTGTTTACTTCGGGATTTTGTAGGACAATCTCAGCTTCCGCCTGTGAGTAGAAGGTTACTAAAACGGGTTTATTTTTGCTTCTGGAGTGAAGTCTTTTAGTGTTAGCTACTCTGATGTTTAAGCCACACGAATGTATAAAATTTGGAATTGATGGTGTCGGTTTAACGGTGTGGGGTATATTACGGATAATTAAATTGAGCCTGCGTTTCGATCTATCCGCGACTTCTGACGGAAGAAATGTATAATCGATTCAATTTGTTGTAGGCTCGTTAGGCTGTTCGTGAATCTATTTGAGTCCGTTAGTGAATCGAGAATCGTAAAAATATGTTCATGTTTCTTGATGAACTTCTGTAAACGGACGATGGCCGAAAGATCTACTTTGTCGACAGCAAACGTAACATCGGTCATGGTTAAATGGAGAGAGTGTAATGGATTTATGTGTTATTGTCGACAGCTAATAAAAACCGACGCAAAGTCGACGCAGAAATATGTCAATTATTTCAGTTATAAATGAATTTAAACTTATCTCGAGTCTAAGGATTTTGAACGGTTGTGCACAAACGGCCTTGCAACATTGTGTAGAAGGCTTTAGGCTATCTGCAACCCAGATTCCGAGATCTTTCTGCGTTTCTGCTTCTTGGAGTGACATTCCGTTCAAATGGTATTGCCGCGTACTATAGGTCCAATTTCGAGGCGCAGTATGGTAAATTTGTTCAGATTGAATGACAAGAGCCATCTGCTGGACCAATCGTCCAATCGACAAAGATGTTTCTGAAAGTTGGTCTCATCAGCAGCATTCTGGATGACTTTTCAGATTTTTATGCCATCCGCAAGTATGGCACTATCACAGTCCAACCCATCTACAAAATCATTGATGGACAAGAGAAAGATGGTTGGTACGAGCACGGAGCCTTGTGGGATCCCACTCTCTATGAATGTGCGCCTTGATCGCTGTAGTTCTACGCAGACAATTGGGGAGCGGCCGACGAGGAAATTCTCGATCTATCTGAGAAGTTTGCCGCTGATGCCCATTTTTTTCAACTTGTATAGGAGACGCTGATGCAAAACACTGTCGAACGCCTTCCGGAAATCAAAATAGGCCACATGCACAGTGTGTTTTACATCCAGGGCTCTTGTCCAACTTTTGCATTGTATACAGTAAGTTCGTTACACATGATCTTCCCCTACGGAAACTGTATTGTGTATTCGACAAGAGGTTGTGGGTTTCCAAATAAGCCATCAACTTCTTTTTGTGGTTTTCTCAATTACTTTGCAGCAAATTGATGTCCGACTGACGCGTCAGTAGTTCGTCGCAGGAACACGACTACCGCTTTTGTAAAAATGTGTAATTTTGACCGTCTTTCAGGCTGTGGGAAGGAGTCCAGCATCAAACGATTTCTGACACAGAAAGGGTAGTGGTTTGGCGAGGTGTCGGAAAGACTCAGAGGGCAGCATTGCGGGGATCTCGTCCGGACTGGAATATTTACATTCATTGAAGCTTTTTAGTTCTTCTAAAATGGCTTCTCCTCAAAACACAATATTTTCGATAGTGGGATCTCCCATGTTCTCAGAACGGATCAGAATAACCGGGAAAAATGCTCAGCTTTGTTTGTACTGTTCGAAATCTCAAAACCGTCATCATTCCTTATGACAGGAATGGGATTCCTGTTACGTGTGCTTTTCCGCAAATAGCTGTAGAGCTTGGTGGAGCAAATTACTCTCGAAATCCGTCGCCTGCTGAAAAGCAGGCCTTTCAGCTTATTTCGTTGAACTGTATATTCTGTAAACGCTGCATTGTTGTTGTTTTCGCAAAGTTTCTTCCACAACTTTCCTTTCTTGTTGATCTCCCTTTTGAGTTGTGGTGTTAGCCACTGAAGGTGGTTGGATGTCCTAGGCCTTGATAAGGGACAGTGGCTCTTCATTAGATGCAGCAACCGATCCTAGAATAAATAACTGTCCTCTTTAACGGTTCCAGAGAAGAGAACATCCCAGTATATTTGCAGTGCCTCAACAGTCATTCGGCAAAAGTCGCCTTTCCATATATTTGGCCTCGTATCGTCTTTTCTATACGGTTCAGAATACAGCTTGTACTCCTATGAGAAATTACCAAGTTAGAAATAAGATCACTATACGCAGTTTTGATTATAGTTTAGGATTTTTAAGCGACACTTGTTCGAACAGTGAGTGTTGATGTTTTAACGCTTCAATCGTGACCTTATTTGGTCTCGCGGACGTGAGGCTCGGCGCACGTGGTGCATCTGTTTTGTTGATTTGTCTGCTCGTTTAATGAGCGGTTGTTACCTTTATAAAAAGTAATTAATGTTTCAAGTTATCTCACAAACTGTTGATGACGAGTGGCCCGAGTTAGGGCAGTCTTCGACCCAGGAAGTGATAAAAGCCAAGGTTAATACAAATTGGGTCATTCATTTGCGTAGGTCCCTGCGAAGTCTAAGTCTAAACGAAAATGGAAGCGTTTGGATGAAGAAGTTTTAGCAAAAATGGGCGTGTCTGAGAGTGTCGGCCCTGTACAGGAGACGGGTGTACAAACAAGTTCGTCACCCAAAGAAACCACTGGCGAGTTAGCAATTAGTGACGCTTCTCGCTCGAGAAAGCTAAACGGTGCCGGCGAACCCCTCTCCAAAAAATTAACCATGGAATCGAATGAGTCTGGTGGTGCTCCTTGTTTGTTCGTTAGACCAGATTATGCTGGTTTCGAAATTCCTGTTACAATTCCCAGGCCTGGCTTCAGTAAGAACCCTCTCTGGCTAATTCTCTCGCATATAGATCCTAATATTGTCAGCCATTATAGAAATTTTGGAAGATGTGTGCAGACATGTGGCTGCCGAGCCCCTGGCTGTTTGATTTGCGAGGCTGAGCGTCTCGCAAGAATCAAGTATCAAGTGGAATACTACTTCGGCGACAGGAACTTTGGTCGGGATAGTTACTTACAGAGCCAGATTATCGACGATCGCTATGTACCAGTCAAGATCGTTTTGGACTTTCCACGTATGCGACAGCTGGGGACCACTCTAGAAGATCTTGTTAAGGTGTGTGCTTATACTGTATCGTTCACACGCTTCAGGCATGCAGCTCCAGTGATGTCGTAGAATTCGATGAACACATGTCTAAGATCCGTCGGAAAAATGCCTACATACACAGACCCCTATTTTTCCCGATTCCAAGTAATTTACCGTTACAGTTCCGCATTCAGCTTTCTAGTGCCTCACGATCAGCAATCCGGCTACACCGATCAGCCGATTGCAACTCATGATGGGAGTGGCGGCTTGCACATAAATCTGTCTCCAACCTACACGTCTAGTCTTTTGTCGCCTGTCGCCGTCCAATTGAATAACAGCAATGCTCAGGAAAACTGTCAGCCCGTCCCACCACCGGAAACCCAACTCACCTCTCCTACATTGCCTGAAGATACCTGGCAGACTGTTGACCGCCGCGTAAAACGATCGCGAAACCGTTCATCATGCGAAGGAACCGAAGAGGCTCCTAAGGCTTCCACTTCCCAGCATTCAGTAAGTTTCTGTTTGTTGGTCCTCTTAACAGAATTGATCTGCTTTTAGCAAGCCCGGTCCAGATCACGTCTCTATTCAACTTGCTCGGAACAGAGCGATGGGGACGAAGACGAACTTCTTAATTGCCTCGTTGTCATCGTTCCTGAGCGCGCTAGCGGTCGAGAACACAAGCGCATCCCTATGCACGCGTCCTCTGAAGACTTGGAGACTGAGGTGCGTAAGGGGTCTGCCGCTCTTCCAATTCCGGAGTCGCGTTCGAAATCTACTTCGGCTAGTCTCCAGGCTTCGCCCTGCCCACCCCAGAAGTTTGTCCAATCCTCCAGCGACTATTTGAGTACCTCAGGAATGTCTTCTCGCTTGCTTTTGAAGCACCCTGGTGGGGATCGACACCCCAATCCGGATTATCAGTCGAGGTGAGGTGTTTGTGTGATTTATGAGCTCCCATGCTCTAAAATGGGACTAGTATCCAGTGGTCATGCCCGTCCTAGTCATCTGAGCCGTCATGATCTTAACACGCCTTGCATTAACGGTTAGATTAGCCATTTGTATCTCCTTCCTTTATTACTTTAAAATATATAGGACTAGTTAAGTTGATTTCAAGTGCTTCCATTTCCTTCTTTTGGCCCTCGCGTACAGCTGATGCTGTCTTTTTTAAGGGCAAAAAATCACGCAGATCTCGCAAAAGAGATCCGACACGGCCTGGAGGTTTATCAAAGAAGCATCCGTCGTCAGCGCTGTCGATCTTATCAGAAGCTGGGCTTTGATTTCGATTTCGAGTCAGATGGGTATGTTAGTTCCGCGACGGACTCATTCACTGATCTCTCTGGCAGCGAGGACCGTTTCTCCGAGCAGAAAACAAACAAGGTAACCCATTTTGTTTCTTTACTGACAAGAGCTCTTTTTCGATCAAGGGCTCTAAACTGATCCTGAATTACATATTGCACTTTTCACGGGTTTTTGATTGTTTCCCTCCCGTCCGCCTTAACGCAACTTGAAAACCAGCAATCAGAGACGTGCCCCATTCTTGCGTAATTTGCCAGCTTCTACGTATTCGGGGAGTGTTAGCTTTACGAATGTTTCTGCCTCATCTTAGTTTCTGCTGGGTCTGTCCGCACGTTCCAGCATTACCTTGCTTGTAGACCTTAAGCATAGGAAGCCAGGACAACTCCTTGGTGTGACGGGGATGATGGGACATAACATTCCTCTCTATACTCCCCTCAGGCCGTAATCCTTGCTTAGGCGAAAGAAGTAATGCATAAGTTCGGCGGCCAGACGTACCTACCCTTAATTGAAAAATAACAACACAGAAAGACGATTTTCAAGGGTGAAGGCAAGATGTAACATGTTGCAGTATTCAGACTTGTCACGCTATATGCATCGAAATCAGCAGTTCTCCAAACCATATCAGCAAACCCTTCAGCAAGTAGCCCTATTGGCCGTCATTGGCTTTTGGGTTGCCTCGCTGGATAAGGCTTGCATTAGTTGATCTTTCGTATTCGTTTTTTTGTAATCCAACGTACGGAAGATGTTATCATTTAACTGGGAAGACGATGCACGTAAGTGGCTATTGTTTTCTACCTCGAAATTACGGACTCTTCATGACATTTTCCACAACAGATCCTAACGTATCTATCTGCAGCGTCCGAATTTTTTCCCTAATGTCATTCAGCTGCTAAATCGTCCCGAACTTACTGACATACAAGCGATTTTTAAGTTTGTTTCAAAGAAAAAAATCTTATTAGATCTGGCCAGATTTGAGGTCACCGAAAATCCGAATTTGACGCAAATATTCGTTTTTCGAAAATCTGCCTTAGTAGCCACTTCATTGTGACTAACCGTACGGTCTTGCTGCTACGATGCTTTAGGCCGGCCCTTTTCTACAGGTCATGCAAACACTTCCACTATTTTATTGGCTACTGGTCACCGTACCTGCTTTGATATCCTCCCGAAAGTGACTCCCGATTACTTTCCATGATATTATACCGCACTAAACCGTGACTTTGGGAGGTGGGGGGGGGGGAGCTGGACTTCGCCCTTTATAGATGATACTCGGAGTTTTGATGCCCCAGGACATAGTATTCTGATTGTTCGCAAAGCTGTTCAGGTGGAAATAGGCTCCACCTCCGAGGACTGGGTTGCGAATCAAGTTACCCTATCCTTCAATCATAAATTGGATCCAGGTTGCATAGGTTGATTGGTGTCACTAATCATTTGACTTTTCTCTGTGTATTAGCTTGCATATTGTGTGTTTGCATGCTCTGCATGACCCCAAATAGGCAGCCCTTCAAGTGCGTAGAACCAAAGCGGGGACCATGGCACGCGTTTATCAGGCTACGACAAGTCAGTACAAACCTCTAACCGCTGTACACGCATGTGACACGTCGATGCAAGCTCTTGCACCACATCAGCCACAGCGCCCAGTCTTATTAACCAGTCAGTTGCTGGGCCCGGGCAGTCGACTGGTGCATGGGAGAGGGAAGACTAAGACCGATACTGGGGAGTAATCTGCCATGGCAAACCAAAGATTGGCCACGTGGATGAGAGAGGGAAGGGCGACACCGATACTGGAGAAGACTCCATCCTTATGACATATCCGCGCGTTCCGTTCAGCTATAAGTCTGACGCGCCCGAACTTGAGTAGGCTGGTTGCCTAACTTTGTCAGTCACTGCGGCAAGATCCGCCTCCCAGTCTTGGCATCGGAAGACGGTGGGTGTAAACAAACTTGTGCACAGGTCATTGCTGGGCCCACCTCGTGGGGCGATTGTGAGCCTGTTCGTTCGTGACAGTTGAACTAATGTGTGTTCTGCGACGAAGTACGTGAGATTCCAAGATCGAATGAACGTCTTCAAGTGAACCTTTTTGGAACTCCGAACGCTTTTCTGCACGCGCTCAATATTTTCTGCGTATGTACTGAACGTAATCTCTTGACTCGCGGTTGAATCAAGTGGTATGTTTCTGGTTTTGTAGGCGGATTTTCGACGTGGAAATGGCGTATGTCTTCATAAAAATGAATGGCCGCCGATTTATGCTCATTACATCGTAAGGAATTTCCAGTGGGAAATTTTCCATAATCCGATACCAGAATAAGAGAAAAACTTACTGGCGTAAAAATTACTACATCTGTAAATGGTAGAGCGATTTCCGGACCACACTGTAATTTTGTCTTCAAAAGCCTGAGTAAATTCACAAGGACCTTGTCTCTTACCTGCGCGGCGATCGTTGATCTTTTTAGGTACAGCTTGTGTCCCCGGAAGAGTTTGCAAACCTAAAGCGTGCAGCTGAAGAAGACTACAAACAGACCGCGGTCAAGCATGAAGGCACACAGGCAACTTCTCCACCATTGTCACCTCCAGTGGCTACCGCCCAGTGTCCGTCAATCCCAGAAAAGCCGACCGAACAGATCCCTATTGCCCTTGTCAAATGTCCAGATGATTTGCCATTTTTTTATCCCGCCAAAATTTTGCCTCCGCCACCGGCTGCCATTTTGAACACGCCGTGGTTTGCACCTCCCATCTCATCCGAGGTGCTAGTTACTGGGGCCCCAATTTGGGGCCCCACACCTCCTGCCGAGGATTCCGTGCCACCCACTGGTCATCCAAAAGCATCGATTGAACAAGCTGAAGCTGCTGTTGCTGCTCTCGTTGCGGAGGTCTCCAAAGCGGCTATGGCCTCTTGTAAGATGGAAGCTGCTCCTGTCATGCCACCACCTGCCCTGCGCAAGGGCACATCCAACGCCCCGAAAAAACCGCGTCGCATTGTTGGTTTCTATCCGGCCAAAGTTGCTCCCGACGGAGAGCGGAAACGCGATGAACTGGATGTTGGCTTTGCCTTTGATATCTCTAGAAGGACAGCCAATCGAGCGCCTAGAGGAACTAGTTTTTCGTTGTGTGAGCCAACAAGTAGCAGCCATACAGCACCAAAGACGGACCCCACCTACAAGGATGACCTACACGTACCTATTGTATCTATGGCCAGGTATGTCCCCAGTTATTTCCTTTCCTATTCCCGTGTAATACGTTCTCAACACTGTATCAGGTTAATATTTTTTAGGCGCATAGCACCGGTAGCAAGTTCAGGATATTATTACTGCGAAAATACATCCACAATCTGCCGCCAAAAACTCATTTGAGAGATTTTCCGTTTGCCAATTTTGTTTATGGACACGAAGTGTTCATCTACCCAATGGGAGGAATGGTTAACCACTTAGGGACAAGAATTAAACGAATGTGGCCACGCCTCCCAATCAGTCAAATTGTTCCGAATTCGACTACCCTCTGCGGCCACTTAGGCTGTAGATACGAACCTTGTTGAGGATGAAATCTTATCAAAATTAATACATCTACATCGCTCCAAATTGTCTACTAGCTTGCGGTGGTTCAACTTATGGTGTATTACAAATTCTGTGGGATAGTCGTTCTATCTGTTCCTTCAAGTCACGCAGTTATTATGACACAGTGCCTTCATTTACGAGTAGGTGTGACCATTCGTACAAGTCATGAATGCACGACGTACCTGTTTTACAGGAGGAGAATGTGGTGGTATTTAATCCTAAATGAACGACACTTCGAGCAAAAAAATGCGGACCCACGTATTATTAGGTTTCCATATCAAAAGCTTCTGATTTGCATAAAAGGGAAATTGCGATGGAGCAGACTCAGCCGTCGCGAAGGGCCTCGAGTCACGTGTCTGAATTATCATGTAAGGTCTTATGTGGTGATAGCAGACCCGATAGGCTCCTTGCGTACATTACCCCTTGCGGCAGTAATAAAGTCGGTTACGTCTAGTTAGAAACCTGCCTGACGAATTGTTAGTGTAAAGAAGGCAAGACTATTTTCGTCGGAATAGGTTGCCTGCCATGTGCAGTCATTGAGAGGTTGATCCCCTCGAGTACTTGAGCTTCGCTTCCCAAGAATCATACGAAATGGGCGGTAGTCAGTTTGACGCATCAGGCCATCTGTTTTCTTTTTAATTGAAAAATCTGCCGATCGAATTAAAACCCGTGCCTGCGGGTAGCAGTCTAGTTGGTCTTGCTTTCCTGGAGAGAAAGCCAACTCGGCGGGCGGAGGGACATTCACAAGTAGTCGTCAGGTCACTGGTGTATGCGATACAGCGTTTGCATTTTCTGTTATAAAAAAGTTCCAGCACCGTAGCATGGACCCGAAGTTGCAGAAATCTGTAGCTATGACATGACAAACGCATTTACTAGTTATTCCCCATCCAGTATCAATAAAAGTCACAATCCGTCGTAATACGCGTCTCACATTCCGGAGGCGCGGAATGAGTCGATATTTGCTAGCTGAAATATCTGCCTCCAAGCCGTCTTGAATCCGCTTGCTCGATCTTCGCTATTCGATTTTACTTGATGGCAAGACGAACGATTGCTGTGTAGTTTGCGCGCGACGACTCACAAGTGCGTGCTTCCCGAGTAAGTCGAAGCAATTGTAATTAGCGTCGAGATGGAGACACCATACTGTAGTTAAATCAGGCGAAATCATTGACCCATTTCTAACAGTTTGCACTTGGTTAATTCGGCGGCAGAGGACAATCAGTGAACCGTTTTTTCCGACCCTACGAGCTCAATCAAGTATGCTCATGGTAAATTGAAGCATTCTGGATGCAGCCTGAATAGGAACTTTGCTAACAAGATGCAACGTTGGCGCCTTTTCGGGATTACAAATGCTGGGTCGTATTTAGTTCATAATTAAGCGAAAATTCTACCAACACGTCTGCTCTAAACATGCACCGAAAGGCCATCCCACGACGCCAGTCCGTTTGATAAAATGTTATGGTGTCTGAGGACGGCGCAATGATATTGCTCAGGACTAGCCATCCTAAAGACTCCTTTGCCTGTCTCGCACTACGCAGAACTGCATGCATTACACAGTCCATCTCCACACCACCACGTCTGATAGTGCCCAAGACTTACATTTACGCCACATCCACAGCGCCTTGTCCGCCCATTCATCCAAGGCTACTAATGGAGAGGTTTGCCAATCGGGAACGGGAAGTTGTTCTATGAAGCATCGTCTTGTATGACCACATTTCCGCTTATCCATACACGTTGAAGGTTTGGGAAACTCAACCACTCTTGGATTAGGATGATTGAATGTCACTTCAGTTCTTAAAATGTGACGAGAAGGGTCTTTGCAATGACTAACTGGGAAGGGCTTCATCTTAACGTCAGCCACAATTTTAGCCATTCATCTGAACGCCAGTTCGAAGAGGAAAAACCCGCGAATTCGGAAGGATAAAGACGAGACGTTGTAACCTCTTCCGAAGTAGCCGACTGAACTTGGGATTAAGTCGTGAAAATCATCATTGTGAGGTCCGACCCCATTTTTTGTAAATATTCGGGTTCAATAGTGTCAGATTCGGCGTGATAATCCTGTAATGCTCATACCTGCAAATTTTGCCATACTAGCTACAAGATAATTAGTTACTTTATATTTAAGGTAAATGCGATTCTGGACCGCACATTGCTGTATTAGTCAACCCGTTTACGTGTACTTTTAAAAGAGAAAATGAACCACCAGTCGACAACTTCTGCCTTTGTGAACATTGACTGCTGGGGTTTAAAAGAGTTTATACTTCGATCGCTACAATATTCAGAGTTAGGTAGAGGGTTTTTTGCACAGGGCATCCCGGAGGGATTTTGTAAGTGGTGTACTGTGAGAACGAAACAAAGGCCCGTATGTCTGCTCGAAGTCGAAGCGCACGTGTTGAATCCGTAAGTTTATGGGCCGGCATGAGTAGCAGGTCGTGGCGTCGTCCGCCAGGCGCTGAAAACTGACGCACGAGTGTGATCTATGAGATCTCAGGCTGCCAAATTTCTCGCCGAACTAACCCAATTTGTTGGGGCCCGGACATTACAATGCTCACTGTGGAATTCCTCGGCCACCTTCGGAGTTTTCCGTGGCTGCAATAGTTATACTCAATCACGTTCGCCCAATGGCTTTGCGAGCATGAATGGTTGCGAAAGTTTAGCGCTAGACTGTGTTCTGTAGTCAAAGTGGTCACACCTTGTCCAACATATCCTTAAATGTTCCAACCAAATGGTTTTCGGTCGTGGGAAACTCGGCGGCCATTGCTCAAGAGACGTAAATCACAACTGAGACACTGTAATCTAACTGAGAACCAAACATAAATTGCAGACACATGAGGCGCCAAACTCATCTCTCACAATGGCAGCCGCGAAAGTACTTCTCTGTTATCGCTGGGGACGCACATTTTCGTCCCGGTTAGCAGTACTTTCGGGAGCGAAGCGGTAGAGTCAGTACGACAACGGGAACCCTTTGTCCTTAGCGTGTCTTCAACGTGCGCGCAAATGGCAATTCTCCACATGTGCCTGGGCAACCGAGGACTACCGGAGAGCGTGTATTGCAAGCTCTTAGTGAACACAAGGCTTGCGAATCAATGAATAATACAACACGACAGGCGGATGACCCGGATACTCCTCTGGGACTGCCACATTTCACTGCACAGATATCGCAAAATCCTGAGCCAGCTGCTTCCAAAGTGATCGCAGCACTGCTATACCGAATGATCGACGGTCGAGTAGGGAAACAGCTCTATACGGGATGGGGAGTTGATGAATAGATTCCGAAAGTTGAGTTCCACTTCATAGGAGAACAACGAAACACTGATACACAATCTGTCCTCCCAAGAACTGACACTGGCACAGGTTCAGATGCCAAAACGCGCGGAATGCCTTAACGCCTCCGACGGTGACCTGACCAACTTTCTGGCCACCATCTAGTCGGTCCTCATACAGCACCAAGCACCTGCCGAGACAAAGCACCTCGTCCGGCAATGAGTTACTTCCCTGATGGAGGTACACAAACTGCGTGTGATAATTCGGACAGCGGAGCAGGATGCCCTCAGGACACTGAAGGCTGACAAGAGCATTGTAGTACTGTCAGCAGACAGGGCGCCCCGTAGTGCTACTTAACAAATTTGTCTATCATTGGATGGCCAAGGCCTTGCCCGAGGGCCATCAGGTGCGATAAAGATCCGATGAAGAAGCTGGTAACAAATGTACACTGCTCTGTGGGTTGCAGAACGGTGCGATGAGGAAAGACAGGACGACAGACCATTAAATCAAGAGATTCGGCGGTGACAAGATTCTATGAACTGCCCAAAGAGCATAAGGATGGTGTTCCACTCCGACACATCGTGTCTGCGCTGAACACCCACATTCAACCTGGCTAAATGGAGGTTCCGACGTCCGAACTGCGTCACACCAGGCTCCCATATAGCGGCTCACTCGTCCGCATATGTGGAAAGACTCAATGTATTACAACCTAGCACAGACGGGGTCATGATGTGATTTCGTGTAACCTCACTCTTCACCTTAATCCCACAAAACATTGCAATCAAAAGCGTCCGTGACACACTTAAGAGCCAACAACGATACCAAGATGTCTAAATGAGGCATCTCACCCAGCTGCTCAAAACGTATTTCGTCTTTGAAAAGACGGCTTATGAGCAATTCAGAAGCACTCCAATGGAGTCGTCGCTGTCCGGCTTTATCTTTGAGGCGATGAATCAATCCACAGAGCAATATTTTAGGTAAGGTACGCGAACGTTAACTTTGTCATCGTGAAGCGGGAAATAGTCTTGGAATACCATTCACTGTTGAACTCCGCTTCCCCGGAAAACCAGTTAACAATAGACGGAGAAGAGATAGCCGTTATAGACGTCTAGACCCACCGTCAACGGGGGCCTGAAGACTACCGTATATAGGAAGGCCACTAGCACGCATCAGGTTCTAAGCTGTCACGGCAACCACCCTTCACGCCACAAAAGTGACTGCGTGCGAACTACAAGAAAGCGGACACTTGATTCAGCGAGGTACATGAAGCAGTCGGATTCCATCCCCTTCCGCGGATGCCCACTGCCAACGGGTACCCCCGCAACTTTATACAATGCAGGAATAAGCATAACAGAACAGCCTAAAATATGGCGGGCACTACCGTACTTTGGGAATGTATCCGAAACTGATACTCGTCTCATAACATCTTGGGATCGGTGTCGCTGACAGACTTGAGGCGACAAGACGCCCGGTTGTGAGACCTAAGACCCCCTATCAGAGCGAAACGACCAGCATCGTCTTCCGTTAAGCGAACTACATTAGATAGATCGGTAAACGACTGCAGGCCTACGTGAGTGACCGGGAAAGGACTGGGCAGGACGGATCAACTGTCGCCAGTGATGGAACACTGTTTAGCCTCTGAACGCGCCTTCCTTCTGCAGGACACCGAAGTATTCGGCCGAAGAAACGACACATCAGCCAGAGTAACGCTCGAAGCATGGCACACCACACCAACTTCCATCAATTGTTGTGACTCCCGGAGGCTTGCCGAACCCTACGTGTATAGCTCAATCAGCGGAGCTGCGGACGAGGAGTGAGACCAGACGCGGTTGTAAACAAACCCAGGCTGAGTGAGGACACTCGCGGGTGTGAATGTATGTCGGATCCAAGCGTAGACGGAGGAGAAACAGGGAAGAACCGGTTCAACACAGGCGAATTCGAACGCGGATCGCGCACAAACGTCGAGTATGAGATTAGAGCCAGATACAAACGGAGCTAACGTAACAAACATGGGCGGAACGTGTGTGTATGCAAGTGTAAACGAGGGCCTGGGACAGTAAGTCCAGCCAATGCAGACAAGACTGGCCTTCGTCACCTGGACACCGCCACCTGATGCGATGATAGGGGGAAGTATTTGCCGTCATGACAAAAATCACCCTCCACAGTGCAGCCCGTGCAAATAGCCCTCAAGACATGCCGGCACAAACAGCACCCTTTACGCAATGTAACGCGTGGTATCTAGATTTACCCCTGACGATGAAAGCCTGTTTGCTTTTTAAGTGTCAGGACATTATATTCGTAGCCCTGGTGATCACCTTTTTAAACTAAATAAATGAATTGAAAAATAGACACCCCAAGAAGTATGATTCGAAGGAAATAAGTCCTCTGGGAAAGATAAGAAAGTTTGTAAATTCTCAACTCTGGTTTTCGAGGTGGTCCTCAGACGTTAAGCGAATGTGCACAACGATTTTAGGCTTATTTTGCCTTCATTCGGCCAGTCGTAACTTGGACCACCGTCCGGAACTAGAAAGAAAAATCTGCGCGTTCACACGACGCAATCGGTCTACAAGCAGGCTCTTTCTGATGGATCATAAGCACCTCCACAAGCCGAGCTTCTTCAGCTCCTCGCCACCTCGAAGCAACAAAGAACACCAGAGATGGCATAAGAGTGCCATGAATTTGCCTAAGTGTACAATATACAACATGCAATTTGGAGTCCCCAAAGGTGATTTCAACAGCATAATCGGTTTAAAATAATACAACAGTCGGTAAACTTCTTTACAACTAGAGACTTTCGTTCAAGCACGGGATGGGAAGACAACGTAATTTCCCACAACTCGTACTTTTTAGAACTGTGATGGAGCCTTATCCAGTATCCCCTACCGATAGGACTTGGGTTTTCACACTTTGAGTAGTTTTTGCAGGCTACTTTAGAGATGCGCTGTCAAGGGCCGGCATCCTGATGTATGTAAAATTATGTCGCATGCTAAACACTACGGCAACCTTTGTTTTTACAAAGAACGCATATTTTTTGCATCATGACTTTGGTCATCCACCGTTTATGGTTGAGACTGCCTATTTTCCCGGCCTTTAAGTGTTCGCAGTTTACCGTCTGCTTATGTCTAGATATTATTAGGGCGTACTGCAAATGCTCTCGTCTCTTCTTCAGTGACGTGAGTATTTCCGGCACTACTGTCATCATCAGCAGTAAACATCACAAGATGGATGAATTGAGCGAACCTATCGACCATCTATCCAAGGAAGGAGCACCCACTGCGTCTACATCGACAGGCGCCACCACGAGTGTCACACCGAAAAGTCGCAGGAGGCACGCGGTGTCCTTCTCCGTGTCTTCCTCACAGCAGCAACTGCCAGCTTCAAACTTCAAGTCTAATCAGGCCGCTCAGGCAGTTCTCAAAGCTGGCGGTTACACCTCGCGCGACTACATGCGATACCGCGCCTCTTGTCTGGCCGATCGGGATCGATGTGGCCCTGGAAAGTCTCAAGAAATGAACACCCTCTACCGTTTCTGGTCCTTTTTCCTGCGTGACAATTTCTTCCAGAAGATGTACAAAGAATTTCGAACGTTGGCGCGGGCGGATGCCGAGGCCGGTTACCGCTACGGTATTGAGTGCCTTTTCAGGTTCTTTTCCTATGGACTGGAGCAAAGGTTCTGGCCTCCTCTCTTCCGTGATTTCCAGGTAGAGCGTGTTTTCATGCCTTGTTGCCCCTCGGTACGCTTGTTCATTTTGACAGTTGTGGCCAGTCCTCGTGGCCTACCCAAACCGTGTACGACAAGAGTTTTATCAAGGCAAAGCCAGCATTTGTTAGGTTTTTAGTGTGTGAGTTTTCCGGTCCACAAGTTCGGATATAGTGCATCTTTCACCCTACTCGTATTTAATATTCCAGGGCAAATTAACCATTCAGAGTTTTTTCACGTTTATATGACTTAGCAGCTGCGTTCGGTTTGCTAAGGTTTAAACAAACGGGTATTCAGAGGGCGTTTCCGAATTTATGCTATTACTACAAGTTATAAGGCTTGAGGGAACTGTTCTATTCGGACTTAGGATTGAGGTATTGCCACGTGCCTGTTGCGATAGTCCCAGCGCGTTCCAAATAACTCGCTCAGTTCGCGTGTGCGTCGTAAACAGGTTGACTCCCATTTTTTAAATATCAGTCTATCGTATTTTACGTCGGTCTTCGGTCGCGCAGGTGTGCCTTACATCCTATCCGCCTATCTTTTTGATGTGGCCAATAAGAATCCAGTAAATTTAACCAATAAAATTCCCGACGGCGGGTAGGTTCACGCGTTAGTCTGGCAGCAACTCCTCCAATGTTGAGGGCTACCATAGTCGGATTTATGCCTTTGAGGTTGGAATTCTGTTGCCTTAAAATTTGCCACAGAAGTGCAGATTAAGTAGTCGGGCATTTTACCTCCATGCTATGATTAGTAAGGATATCGATTTGGTGTTTTTTGCACGTGATTGTCATTTTGGCTGTGTGCAGCGCAACTTCCAAGTCTGGAATGACCTTGGAAATGCATCTGCATAATCCAACATGGGTGTCCAGGTCCTCGTTTGACTCGTTTTTAGGGCAACAGTAATACGTTTTTTAACCTTATTTCTGACGCCATATTCCCAACATCTCCACTCAACAGGAAGAGACGCTGTGGGATTACGACACCGGTCATCTCTATGGCCTCGAAAAATTCTGGGCGTTTCTGCACTATGGAAAACACAAGCCGGATCTAAATCCACGCCTGGCAGAATTGTTGAAGCGTTACTCGAAGATTGAGGATTTCAGGAAAAACGTAAGTTTTCTCAGTTTACATGTTCAATCCTCAATTTCTTATGGATTGCCACACCAGTTTCAAAGTGAGTTTACTAAGTCGGCGGCGGCCCCCCATTCGGTCCTTAAACGCGTTATTTGATGTACGTCTCTGTACACATTTCCTGGGCGATAGTTCAGAACTACAGGTGCCCATTCTCCAGTTCGGGTCACATTTTTGACGTACTGTCTTTCGCTAAAGGAACGTCCTATTTTTAGATTAAGTTTGGGTGCCATTAAACTGAAAAACAAGGTTATATTGGTCGTTTCCTTCGGGTATAGAGCTATGGAAGTCGTTCGAGCTATGTTCCTCCCCTTTACGGACTTGAAGTAGGTTAATCATTTCCAATCTAACCGGTTTTCACTGCATCGATGCCCTTGGCCACTGGAAAACTATGGTAATCTGAACCATTCCTTTTAGCACATGCAGAGGTTCGCAGACGTACGGTTTCACAACATACTTTGCATCAGACAGCCATCAATTATCACATATTGATGTCAATATTAGCAGTTGCCAAAACACCTTAGTTGATGACTGTCGTTGGTAGTCGCACGTCCTTTTCGTGTCGCTGGCCCCTTGGATGCAATTCGTGCTCATTCCTTGGATTGCAAGCAGGCTGAGGTTTTGATTTCTTTGGGTTATGAATAAGTTGAAAATAGGGTCCATTAGTTATTCTCGATGTGATCCAAGAAGGCTGATTCTAGTTTAGTGCCTTTCCAATCACCACGTGCTCTTCTGGCCAAGGAATTATTTCCCAAAACGTCAGACAGAAAATTAAATTCTCTCAGCGATTCCCACCGATTTTTCGGCATTACCTCCTGGAACTGCTTCAATTACTAACTGTCCCATAGCTCAATTTTATTACCGTCTATTTTGCTACACTCCTCGACAGTTGCCGAAATTTTGGTTTAAAGTCAGCTCTCTGGCAGGTTCTCCTGGCGACGAATGCAAAAAGTCAGTGCTGACCTAAAACCCACATGACTGGTTTGTTTCGGAAGATCAATTAACGCCTCACGCGTACCACCTGCATCACACGCTTTCATTAATCGCGATCCGGGACAGTCACTTGGAGGCTGTTTAGAGGCGCTAGCGAGGTGTAGAGGTACGGATTGGTCTAATTCGTCTAACACTGCAGGTTTGGCAATGCGAGACTATTCGATAAGATCTGAGATTGATTGAATCGATATCTTGAAACCGGCTTTTGATTTGATTAGTTCGACATTGCCATAGTAGGTAGGGCATTATTTTCTGGAGGACGCTTCTATTGGCGGCCTCCCGTTATCTCAGCTTGCATTGAAAAGACCATAACACCTCGCCCATTAGTCTATTACCGTCTTTTCTAAACCCGAGCTCTACGCCACTCCGCCTCACACTTTCTTGAATGCTTCAAACAAATTCACGTCGTGCTCACGTCAAGTGACAGGCTTTGACTCGCGAGATCATACCCACTTATATGCTTCAACTACGTTAAGTGTTTAGCCGCTAAGCGACGTCTACAGTCCATCGATCACTCTTTAGAACCGTGTTCCCACTGAAGGCGTTAAAAACCAGTCGGCTGTGAACGCATTTGGGAACTTGGTGCCTTGGTAACCACTGCCTGTTCCTTCCATGCGGGATAGAGAGGTAAATTCCTGACCAAACTTCAACTTCAGATGTAAAATGTAGACGAGTCTTCCTTGTTTTGTCGGTACACCACCTCGATGCCGTTTTCGATTCTATGTTGCAGTTTGAAGCACCCGATGGTTTCTTTGGCTATCGGAAGCGTCTACCTTCGACCTCCGCTGACGTCGCCAGTCCCAAAGCCTTTGCACCTGCCACGAGGAAAAGGAACTCAGCCAGCTTCTCTGTGAGCGGCAGACGACCAACTTCGGCGGTTTCTACCGCGCTTGCTTCCGAGAAGGCGCCGGGAAAGTTGAGCTCGACTTCTAGGGCCAGCAGCTCAGCTGCAGCAGCTGCACAGGCCCAGCCCACTGGCGGAAGTACAAAACCCACCGAAGTCGATATTCCCACTAACACCGAGCCCCTTCAACCGAAAGCGAGCAGGGGAAGAACTATTAGACCGTCAAAATCAATGCCTTCGACTGCTGAGAAGAGTAATCAACCAACGCCACTCAATGAGCCCTCGGTCATTCCGTCGTCGTTGAAGCCTGACAAGAGACCAGTGGAACAGATGAATTCGGCGACGGAGGAAGATTCGGTTTCTCCCGACTGTCAGAAACAGACTGAGTCGAGTACTGTACAGGTGGCCGTTAAATCCACCGCACCGTCGTCGCAGGATATGAGAGAGTCCATACAGGACGGCAATCAGCGACAGCAGCATCAGAAGTCACGGCCTCGTAAGCCACAGTCCAACCAGAAGTCCGCCAAGGTCGGCCTACCTAAACAGCAACTACAGTCTGGGGACAATAGCAACTCCGGTGGTCCGAACAGGTCTTCTGATCAGAACAGGCCAAAATCCAAGCCTCAGGCTGTCGCCGCCACCGGTTCTTCATGAGGAAGAGCAGAAAATAACTCCTAGGGAATGTTCATTGCACATTATGCATATATACAAAATCTTCGAGTCGCGGGAGTTTTAGTAGCCGCGCACAATACATTGACTTTGCTGCTTTTATGCTGCAACTAGACTGCAAACGAGTATGTCCACATCTGAAATTGATGCTTGCTGTGCCTCACTTTATCGCAAACACAAGCATGCGGCTAACTTGCCGCCTCTGTCACCGCCGAACTAGGACTAATATTCTGTCCTCGGAAGCCCGGAAAGAAACAAGTCTTATTTACATACGTTTTGGACGCGAGTGGTAATTCGCACATTCTTTTGCCTTTAGAGGGTGTGCAGTAGTTTCTGAACTTCTTTTCTGTCCACATAATTCCTATACTCGTTTAAAAACGCGCAATAGGGGGTTGAGCGCTTTCAATGCCGGTTCCCTCTTTCGCCAACTGGATTTCTGACGCATTTCACGTGAATATCGAGGACTGTGTTTGTTTTTGCTTGCAAAGAAGTCTGCGGAGCCATTCTTCTACTGGTTTTGGTTGTGTGGTTTGATGTGGTAGTTTGGGGCTCGACTTATGATCACTTTTGAAATTCGTTAGTTTTTATTTTTTCTACGCTTAGTATGTAATGGACTTCATGTGAATCATACTTGAATATAAATGTCCCTATCTAACTGTCGTGTCTTGGAGCCCTGGTCAACTGGCGTAAACACGCTCAACCATGTCGAACTGAGGTTTCATTCCATTGACTTGTACCAGTAACTGCCAGTTTTCTGTGCTTTGGTCCTTCATCTTCACTTTACACCAGTTACAGAGCCCAGAAAGTTTTCAGCAAGTAACCCGATCGCCTTGCTGCCGGCTAACGGGTGCGTCCATGCAATCGGCAGGATCAGTAGTGCATTGTCGGTTGTTTGCTATCCGTTCCCTGGGTTCATCTCCCTTGCGGAAGACTCGCTGGGTGGGAACAAGGCCGTGAATTGCGTCCACCGCACCCGGTAGCATATCTCAGTCACTCGCGACTGCTGCCTGAAGACGAGATAACGCAGGAGGCCATCTTGTTTAGATCCGATCCTGATTTTTTCTTTGGGATCTTTTCTCGGGGTATCCCTGAGAACTTGATTGTGCGTCCAGTGTCCTGTGCAAGACTGGATCCACAAAAGGAGTCGATAAGGAGGCTGTTTTTTCCCCTTAAAATAGAACTTATTTGGCAACGAGAACTGTATAGGGTTATTTGGATTTCTCTGTTTTTATATGCTTACTGTACCCTCGAGGTTCTGGACCTCGGTGAGGGACGGTTGGACTCTGTGCCGTGTTATGGACCCATCCTTTCGTAAGCCTAGGCGTTCTCACCTTTGCCCAATGGCCTCCTGGAGTTATGGGAGAAGTTCGATTCCCGAGAAGATGCCTCCATTGATCTGCTTTTGGACGGGATCGTCCCGTCGTGTCTTGGGAGCTCAATCCAGGTCAGTCGAAGGCATTCGGGTGGTGACCAACGATATGCAAGTAAGAGGTATCGACAAAGGCTAGAGAGACTGCGGTGGCGATTCCTGACTTATTAACCATTGTCGGCCAGTCATGCCCAACCACAGATCTGGACGACATGGGGATTCGAACGCGGATTCTCGAGTCATTGAGTCTTAAACAGCCCAACGCCCCACCACTATGCCAGGAACCTAGTTCTCCTGTCGGTCATAACCGACAATATGCACTCGTAGGAAGGTGCGCTCACAGCGGTTCGTGTCTCCCAGTGATTAAACCACGTATATTTGAGTTAAAAATAAAGTCTAAATTAGTTTCCGTGGCGGTTCTGGCTACCTCGGATTACCCTTTAATCTCCACGACCTGTCTAATAGTGAACACATTGTGCACAAGTAGCCCGCAACGACGGAGTTCGCCGGTAACTTTTCGTCACGCCTGAGGCGCTGTCATTTTCATCGTTGTGGTCTGCAAATCAAAAACAGTTTACCAGACAGAGGATTTATGATTAGTTGTGGGATGGGGTCGGTCAATTCGCGAACCAGAAATCCGATACCCGCATGTTAAGCAGGCAAGCCGCAATTTAACAATTTGATAGCGGTGAGTTGCCGAAGCAAGCCCTGTGGCTTTCGTGCGAGTTCTTGGACCCGTTTCGTAGGTTGGCACAGACTGCAAATGCTTTCTTCGATAGAGCATTGAAGTTGCTTGTATTTAACAGAAAGCGCCTTCGAAAGCCACCTTGAGGCCTCAGAAGGTCCGAATTTTTGAAGCCGTGTGCAGGAAGGTGGACTAAAACGAAAGACGTTTGTTCTAGGCGGACGATACATCTCAAGACTTTTGCATTAATGTTCTACTTGATTACCTGTGATTGCAGTCGAAGCCGTTATACCGGGTTTGGCCGATCTCCCATGCAGCACATCATAGCCCGCGTTACTCCTAGTCGGTGGTAATCATGCGACCATGCCCTCCTCGTTGGAATCAGCCGTATAAATTCAGGTCATTTCCTACGATATACATCATCTGGACGAGGAATTTCATCTGCTCGGCTTTGGAGGCGATAGGATAGGGGGACTTTTTGAATTATCATATGGAATGGTGGCTGGAGGCTTCCGGCTGTCACCTATCGCCTGACCAAGATGGCGAGCACTGCCATACATATAGCGTGGACCTGTCATGGTGATTGTTCTCCGATTGTAAACTGTCCTGAAGACTGATTCATCTCCCCATTTACAGACAAATGTCTGAGGTCAACAAGAGACAGTCCCTATTCGTCTAATTAGTGGGAGGCTTTAGTTCAAGCAGTTAAGATATTAAACGTCAGAGCAGCGCTCATGGAGGAGGTGGGGCTGGTTTTTCTTTGCGTTGGTCCGATGAGCGACAATCTCAGGGACCAAGGAAACACCAGGTCACGTCTGATAGAGCACAAACCTGTGGTTCAACTGGTGGTGTTGAGCTCAATGACCAACTAAATCTCAATTCAGACTTCTGGTCTTCCTGGGATTAGTACACGGCTGACTGACGACACCAAATAGGCCCGAGACAGCAATTCCAGCATCTCTCGTAACACGTCTCGCATTTCGTCCAGTTGGCAATTTATTGAATAGGTTTCGGGCTCCTGTGGGATGATTGTTGTACGAAACCAAGTTTAGCCTGTCTCAAAGTGGATACGAACAGAAAGCAGGTCGACCAGTTGTTTTAGCCGAAATCCCCTTAAGTTAAACCCTGACTGCTGAAAAGGCTGGCAGTTCCCTTGACTACTGTCCCATTTCGACCCACGAGACAAGTTGTGTCATGTAGTCCTGTACGTGGAACCATCTGTAGCAATAGACTTCGAAGTGTCGGACTCGCGCTCTTCCAGCCGACGGCCGAATAAGTAGGGTCCAAGAACCACCCCGTAGATATATTTGAAAGCTTGCAACAGCAGTTAGGGCCACACCAACCGATCTGGTAACCTCATTCACTCGATATCATGGCGTACCTATCATCACAGCTTAACCACAGGAGAGGTATTTCGTTAATGTTATCAGTCTTTTGCAGAGGGCTCTAGTTCCGGAATTTCCTGCTTTATTTGGTTGTTTGTTGCCCAATTTTGACGCACGGCTTGGTAGATTACTCATAGGGCTTCGGAACCCCGAAAGACCAGCCGCTATGGGATCGTGATCGTCACGGATGTTGCTAGAGCCGTTTATACAACTGATGAGG